TTGGCATTATTGGTTGGGTGGTTCGTACAAACAGGTTGCGTTAAATGACGCTGATACAAGAAGTAGAGGAAAAAAGCAAGGACGCATTGTAAACGATACGATCATGATGACAATTATCAAACGGGAAGACATGATTTAGAGACCGATCTACGTATATATATATATATATATATATATATACATATATATATATATATTGGTACGCAGATATACTTGGATTGCTGAAACTGTGAAATTGTTTCATCCATTATGTTTCGCATAAATAGAGCGATAAAAGCAACTTCCATTGCTAAGGCCGCTATTTCAAGAAATAGGTGGTCGACTCTAAAAAACAAAAATAAACAGCTATGAGGGTTACTATGCTTGGAAATGACAGCTCGACCTGAAAAGACACCCTTTCACAATTAATCGGAATCACGCCGAATTACATACGATGACTGGCGATCGTCGTTGATGGCCAGTGACGTTTAGCCTGTTCCGCGACACCGACCTTAATCAGTCACTACGCCTCCGAACTGTGGATGTAATGGCAAAAACAATAGCAAACAACCAATTCGCAATAAAACATAATACCTTACTTTTCAATGTGAAAATATGGACTTCGTAAAACTATGCTGTAATAGCAGGAAGTTTTCTCGTTGACGTCCGATAATTGACGCCGGCGGCGTTCTGGTAGGCATAAAGAAAAAGCGTATAGTCTGTAATTTTGCTGTTGGAAAAACTTTCAAGCTAGCACAACAAACGACAGACGGAATAGGCAAAAATTAATTTAAATACGTAATGAGGAATGAAAACAGAGGCGGTGAAAGCGGGTACGCTTTACGCGTACACAGTTCCAGCAAACCAGACTATGCTAGGTGACTGGCTTATGAATCGTGGCCTTGAATAACATCGTAAGTACGGCTCACGACTTCAACTACATGTAATTAATGCCAGTCTAGATAGTCATCACCGTCTTCTTTTATATCCCGTAAACTATGTGAAGATATCCACGAACGTAAATGAACGAACAGATAACACAACCTTTTGAGTCGTGTGAATACGTTTGAAAAATAGATGACGCCAATACAGTTTGTTTTGTCAAGCTTGACAACGCTCCGCCAGAAAGTCGTATATCCTCTATGACATCGTGAAGGCATGATGGAACACACGATGTGGCTGGCACATACATGTCCACGGCCAGTTGAATGAAGTAAAAGCTAGGGTGAATATTACAGACGCTAGATATACGCATGACATACTTGTGCGATATATACATACTCCTATCGAACAACCTTCACGTGTTCACTTCAGTATGGGGATGTAGTTTAATAATTTTCGTTAGGTCTTCTGCGAATCTACTCAACGTGTTTGAAGTGCATTTCGCTTTATTTTGTTTCTTTTCCGAGACCTGATTTGATATTAGGGTCAAGTTCAGGGCTTTGGGAAACTTGTGTTCCACTTTTTTGTCGGCCTTTATGACATAGAACTTACGAAACACCACTAGACATTTAATATGTTCGATAAAGCATATACCAGAAGATGCAAACGGACCAATGGCCGAAGCAAGAAATTTGCCCTGGGATTTTTCTCATGTTTACAATGCGTTAAACGTCTATAGAGCTCACATTCATTGCCTTTATGCGCACAAACAAGATGGCTCCTAATTTTTGATCCCGCATATATTCAGGCTAATTGTATATTGTACACTGAATACAGGAAGTTCAGTTCTGACGAACTATGAGGTTAAAAACCGTCATTTTTTCCTCCATCTTTAGATATTTAATCGGCTGCCATTATAAGCAAATCATATTATCACCTCCGCCATCTTCTTTCGTTTTCTGATTACTCTCAATGTGGCTAAGAAACTCAGTGAGATTTAGATTAAATCGTGACTGAGCGACCTCTGACGGCGGGCGAATGCCTAAACATTTTTAAATACGAAATTATTACTACTACTATTATTATTTCTAATTGTCGTAGTAGTCAAATAGAGATAAACTGGCTGGTGCTGTCATCGCCGTCACCATTGTTCTCTCTAGTTCCCTTTGCCTTTTTTCCTTGCTGTCCTTGTTGTTGTTGTCGTTGTTGTTGTCGTTGTCGTCGTGGTCGTGGTCGTGGTCGTCGTCGTCGTCGTTGTTGTCGCCGTCGCTTAAGTCGCTGGAGCAAAATTGCTGGGTCGACGTATGTTTCAGCCGCCATGCTTCCATATTTTCCTCGTTCCAAATGACAGATGAAGTTAAAACACTGCCGCTCAGGCATCTGCACAGATGGAGCGCCAAAGGCAGAAGTAGCAGCGGATGGCAGCACCCCACAGAGGCCGAAGCGAAAAAGCTGATAGTAGCTCTAGCATCGACATGTTAACCGGTACTGCCAATACGGACGGCATAGACGCACAGCTCGAACCATAGCGGATCCCTAAAATAAACTGCTGCGATTGTAACCACTGTGGCAGCCTGTAATAAGATAGGGCGGAGCTAAGGGCAAGAAAAGAACAGACAGGAAAACAAAGCGAGAAACACGGAATAGCTGTGAACAGCCGTTGCGCGTGCTTTAAGGCTAGAGCTTTCTGCTGTTCAGCTAACCGCTGCTGCTGCCGTATGGATTGTCAAGCAATAACTAGCTACGCCATGACAGATTTCTAAAGTAACGCTATATATCTACGGTAGCTGTGTAAGTGTGCCTTTATCTGTTTAAAAGGCTGTCAACGTGTGTATGTGTGTGTGCGGTGTTGTTCCTCTCTGAACACTTAAATGAGAAGGAAAGGCCCAAGGCCGGAATAGGTAACCGAGCTGTGCTAGCGGCGATAGCAAGAGACAGTCATGAGGACGTTAGCGCTCCCTAGTGGCTGCGGACAGTAGAGGGTGGGAACACAACCAGCCATCCCAATAACACCAGGCTCAATATTCTAGTTGGTCAGTGAGCCAAGGCCTCGTTTAACTCACCTTACTACTATTCCTTAAGAAAGCGGTTAATTTGCACAAAAGGCTAGCGCAGATTGCAAGCGAATGGTGGCTAACACGGGCGTCTCGCGAACCTCGACGGTTTCCGAAGCATCGGTATCCGCTGTGTGCATATGATGCTATACAAGGTCTGTGCGTGCTTCTATCTGTCCGGATGTATGTGTACCAGACAACGTAATCACGTGGACTCCATCGGCCAAGGTGCCAGTACTTCGTTGTTCTTCTTGCCAAAGTTCAAGCCTTCTCCAAACAGAAGCGCCTCGAAGGCCTATCGCGTAAGGCTTTCAGGCTCCTGCCCCTTGGGGTTTGGGCTTAACTCCTTCTTTTCAAGCCTCTACTGAATTCCGTAACTTTACAATGAATGCGGGTGTATGCCACTGCAACTCCCATGCATGCGAGGTCTAACGGCCTCCCTCGCTGCACTAGTAACTGATTGTATATGTATTTGTATTTGCGTTTGCGTGATCTTTTGAGTGCCTTAGGGATGCCAGTATAATAGGGGCTACTCACTCTCAGCTCCATTCGCACTTGAGCCTAATGTGGCGATTCCCTGGGCCGTCCGGGACAGTAGGTTACCTAGGTACGCTTGCTAGGCCAGTCCGAGCGTTACGTAGTTAGAAAACAGGGAATGTCAGGGACCGTTCGGCTAGACTTACTCAACCGTGTGTCTGTGTGTATCTGCTTTATATGTGGATAAGAGCAATCGGTAAGAATGTCTGATGATGTTTTTGTCATTGTATTGTTGTCATCATTATCATAATCTCATATAGGCTTGTGTATCACGAACAATATCTCAAGTACGCCGGAGCATCCGCATAAATGGTCTGTTTTCCGATCTGGTCATCGGCAAAACTGTAGTAGCGTTCCTTGATGGGTAGTTAGCCATGAAAAGCGTATGCTAGTACCCATGTTTCCACCCTGTTCCAGATCCATCACAGACCCGACCACCAATCGGGCGTATATTCTGCTACAGAACATAAGAGCAGAAGACTCGATTGAAGCGATTCAATTTGCATGTAGTATGGAAATAATATTCTACCTGTTGTTAAAAAACAACCATTCGAAACATGTTGAATAGTTCATGTCACTTCGAGGCGCCCGAGTTACTATTATTTATTGATTTGCTCAGTTACTATACCGGCGAAACGCATTATACAACCTCGTTGGACATCCCTGCCATATTGCATTAGCTATGCCGTTAGATAGAGAAAGAATTCACTCGGCACATGAGCGTGGCGACACATGTGCGTGTGGGTGTATGTATTTTGTGGGAAGAGGGAGTGGGTCACTAAAAACGAAGGAACAAGCTACGAAACGCAAACGAAAAATATTAAGTGATATTATAATGAATTGTTCGAAGGCTATCCCACCGACGCCTGGAGAAACGGCACGATACAGTCATATAGCTTGGCGGTGCAAGTCGAGGAGTTAGGCAGATCTTTGCAGAACCAATGTGTAACAAAGACTTATAGTTAAGTAGTTGCCGGGGATACTGATATAAACTGACAGGTTGACACCTCACCGACTGTGAATCGAATGTGGACATCAGCGTACTTTTCTATCAACGAGGGCTAATTTCAAAAACAGCGAAAGAGAATCAATTATCAGCTATCACACGCTAACCGTATCTTACAGTTAGCATAGATACGTATTTATATACATACAGATCGAACAAATGACATACGTTTTAGGGCATGTAGTTGTCTTTACGATTAGATATTAGTTGACATTTAGCCATAAGGGTAAAAGTTCCACGAGAGCAGTAACCAATAACGAAGTTTTTCATCGTCCGCTTGTACCCCCGCCAAACGACATCGCCCCATCGCTAAGCTAACGAAACGAGGAATGTGACTATGGAACAAATAGGGCTAGAGAGATATAAAGGCGGAAAGAGGCAACAGGTGCGCTGTATCCGAATCAGATAGATTAGCTAGAACGCAGGGAGTTCGAAGAGAACAGAAAACAATTGACTATGACACTTATAAAATGTCAGTTCGCAAAATGTTGTGCCTACAATTTGTTTCTGCTTAGTGGCACGCTTTTTGTTTTAAAACTCACCGGCGAAAGTCTCCCTCTCTCAACATCTCTGTCAACTTCGGTGGCCTTCAGCTCGGCTTCGGCGTCGACCGACGCGTCGGCAGTAGCCGCGTTCTCGCCGAGGGCCACCCCTTGAAGAGTACGCAGGTTGCGCAGCTCCGTCGCCGTAGAGTGCTTTCTCTGTTCCCCCTGCAGTGGAAATATCTATGTACCAAACCCTTTTTGATAAAGCACAATTTTTGCACCACACCTCTACAAAGATTACGAGACGGACGGCAAAATGTGCATCGATGTGCTGACGATCGAACTTACCCAACTAACCTGGTCATTGCTCATTGTTGCCAGTAGCACTACCAGGAAACTAGGAAAGTCACACTCATTACTGGCCTGGCCTCAAAACTTACTTGGGTAAGAGGCCCGCAATGAACAATGATGTCAGGAAGAGGGCAGAGTTTTGACAGCATCAATGCACCGGCAGCCACTCTCGTGTCCTCGTAGCGTGATGTATAGAGCAGATAGTGGTCTAATGTGATGTAAAGTATATTGCAAGATGGACAGCTGACTGAGAAACTACGCGTGGGCGAGGCAAACCGATCAAGCTGCGAGGTGCCTACAACGATCAATAGGGCCTTGCGTTCCCTTGCAAAGGAAGAGCTTCTAGATTCACTGGCACATTGCCTTCGCTCGTCTTCCATCGACGCGACGAGATCCGCACCGCGTCGCCGGTGATTGTAGGAAATTATGATGCAGCTAGTAGCAAACTACTTGCAATCAAAACGAGTCGTTGGATCAGGGCAGTATTCTCTCGGGGAGAAGAGGAAATTTGTTATTATCGTCTCATTTGGCAGAGCCGATTTGTTTCCCGACAGTACTAATTGCAGTAGCGGTTATAGTAGTTGATCACTTTATTTAGAAAGAGCTACAGGATCAGTCAACGATTCTCTGTGGGCGGTAGTCGCTGTTCAGGTGGTTTGGAAGGCTGTTTAATTAGGCAACTTCGTATGACATACTTTTTCAGCATCTCCTACTGAGAATCGAAACATTTTTTATGTAAATCTTATTTACTTTAATATCTCTTTAGTTTATCTTTGTGGATGAGGTTTCTGAGAGAAATGAGCGTCTATCAGTCTCTATTTTTATTGGTAACAGCTACGTGTGAATCGTACCAGCCGTCTACGTTTGCCCGTTTTGTAACCACCGTTTTCGACGTGTCTCGTTGTATATATAGCTCGTTGCCCACCACCGAATAGGTTTGTAGACTGTAGGTACAACAGGGACGAGGAGTGTTCTGAGCTGGTGTCTATGCTATCACAAAAGGCAAAACCGTAAATGGCGACGGTGCTCCTAATCTAAAACATCCTGAACACCGGATTGGTGACAAGGGCTAGGATTTTTGTACGCTCGCAGATTTTCGTGATGCAATGAAAAGAGACGTGTACACCCAAACAGAAGAATTAGCAAATAGAGAAGTATGGAAACAATAACGGTAGAAAACATACAACTGCTGTTGCTGCTTTAGAGGTGTTTCAGCTTAGCTTACTTCAAATGTCTAAATGATCTGTTTAAGCTTTAGCGCAAGCTCGTTGCGAACATCTTTGATATACTTATGTATAGTTATGTGTCGATTATACGCCCTACGACGTGCGGCATAAAAACTGCGGATACGTTTAAATATTCAGAGACTGTTATTATGGAACAATGGTTACCTGACTGCGTGTGTGGCAGTCGATTAATTATCTGAGCGGTGGCTGGTGATAGCAGTTAAAAACTGACTCTGGACAGCACAGGTAGATTACTAGGCAATGGAACGAGACAGTATCGAGGTCAGTAGGGATTCAGGATAATGCTCACAGGATTATAGGGGGAGCGGGGAGAAAATTGGTGGGCCAGTGGACAGACACAATCGACTACGGGTGTGGATCGGTGCAGTTTGGTACGATACAATCATCATTACATCATCCTCATTGTCATCATTATCGACAACAATAACAATACAGCATACAATAGAGACAGCGATAGATAGATAGGTAAACAGATAGATAATATACAAATAGACAGAATAGCTCTAGACCGTCCTCTAAGGAGAACCAACCTTTGCTGTGCTTTGATCAACGGGTTTTACTATCTGAAAAAAGCGGGGGTAACAACAAACCTTAGGCTATCCTGCCGAACATAACTCTGTATGTATTCTACAATGGGAATACATAAATCAGTACGTTATGGATAAGCTGCTTTTGAGACACTGTTACAGCTACCCATTAGGGTAGAATACGCTATAGGTCATGAGCACAGAGATTAGAGTACATCAAGTTTCTATTAATAATAAATGTAATTTCATTTTATTTCTACCCTGTCAACGTGACATAGGTAAACGTGCATCAGAACGACAGTTATCGAAAGTGACTGAGCGAACGGACGAGCGGCGACATATCGACAAGAGGGCAACATCTCAGACAGAAAGGGAGGTAAGGGAGAAGGTGAGGGAATGAGGACGAGGCGGCGGCGGCTGGGGGGAGGCCAATCGAGGCAGATGAAGTTACATAGATAACGCATAGAGGGGAGTACAGTAGATAGAACGATAACGGCGAAGTAAAGCGCACAGATTCATATCGCGAATGATCACAATGTGACGCCAAGGGAAGACACCAGATGAATAAGTTTTCGCCGTCGTCGTGGTCATCGTCGCTGCTGGTGCGAGCCGCTCGTTCCGGCTTCTGCTTCTTCTGTGGATCGGTCGTACATCTTCTCTTCCGCTTCATTGCCATCGTCGTCGTCGTGCACGGAGAATATATCGCTTGCTTTAGCATTCGTTGTTTTTTCACTGGCGTAGCAGGAGATTAACAGTAAATGTAGTATACAGTGCCGTTTTCCAGCCGTTGACTTCCATTTAAGCGAGGCTCACGATTTACCACATCTTCTGTTACTTCGGCGAGCAGCTTTCTGGCTTATGAGTTGTTTGCGTGTGAATCTATATCAGAACACTAGCAGGGCTTTTTAGAGTGGATACCTCTACTAGTTTTCTGAAGCTTTATCCTGAAGTTCTCTCTCTCCCTCCTCCAGGGGGGCTTTACTCTTCCAAGGACGACGGCTTCAGTTTCGATTTTGGTGGTTTCCAGACTATACCACCACGGAAGTGCGCTACTGGCTTTCGGATAGGAGAGTACTGCCATGTTGGGGAATACCGCTGGGAACAGTGTACACGGATAAAGGCAATAAACTTTCTGGAGTTTCCTAAAAACTGCTGCCGATGGTACCATAAAAGCATTAAAATAATGGAAATATGGGAAAAAAGTGCGGGTTAAGGCTGAGGTAGTGCCGGGGGAAAAGTTGAAAAAATTTACAGACGAATAGAACTAAAACGATAGAAACAAAATGTCTGCCTTTATCGGCGTTGCTATTTTGTGGCTGTTAAAGACGGCCAGTAAAAACTGAATGGTGAATGCGATGAGGCTTGCCTTTCCCCTTGCTGGCGGCTGCTTGCTTGTCTCGTTGTGCTGGCCCGGCCACGACGACATCTTCGATGGTGCGGGACACTTGCGGGGCAGTGACGCAAAAATGATGAACAGGAGTGGCCACATGTGCCGGACAGATATCCCAAAAATTAACTAACTATGTCGACACCGCAAAATAGAAGCCAGATACCCATAGTCAGAAAGATTAGTAACAGAAGGCCGTTTCGGATCCAGAAAAAGTTAGAACGAAGCTTAGCAGATGGCCATGATATGGAGAAGTCGGATGACGGGCAGCAGGAGCAGTAGAAAGACCATACACCCATCAGGGGTTAAGCTTTACGCGAGGCTTTTTTCGTTCAACTAGTGACGGCAAATATGGGACGGGCCTAGGAGACACTAGAACGTCGCGATGTCAATAGAGCGGTGCTAGTAGTAGATGAAATCCGTATTGCTTCCCTGGAATCACCTGCAGCAAATGCACGGCAGACTAAAGCACAACAATAAGGACGAGGAAAATTGCGTACAATAAATGGTGTATCCTTTACAATTGATGATGTCTAACGGAATAAAAAAGGTCTTTCGTGAAGGTCGTCGAGAGTGCAGCATGCTTTGATGGGTTTGGGAACAAGTCGACAGCGATTAAGGGACACGATACCGATAGAGCGACTTCATCTGGGTTGAGATCTGGCTGGGTTCCAAAGAATAATTCTGGCTCGATGCGACAACGCTACACATTCTATAGTCCCACACGTTAAAAAATATTCAACAAATTGAGTGTTAGGAATAGAATCGCGAACTCTGGTGAACGTTAGTGGCATAATCTAAAGAGTAGCAGGCATTACGATAGGAACAATTCATCGAATACCGGCAATAACCTAATGGACCCGCTGCATAGATTGCTAGCTGTCGGACTCAAAAGCTGACTAGCGGCCGCAAATAGGAAACCTTTGTCGTCTCAAACGACGAATTCGTTGCTTTTGCAAAGAGAGACGCAGAGTAAAAGGGGAAGCTCACAAAATCAACTGCCTGACGAAGCAGAGCTATTGCAATCCATTGAAGGTTCAGCATCGGCGAGTTTGTTAGGTTCCGACCGATGAACCCTATGCGCGTGAGGGTTAACCCTGAATGGTAGAACGGATTATTGAGATGAAACATCATTGATCCGCTTGGTCCGATCTGGTATCACGTCCAGCCTTCTTCATAACTGTGGCCAATCCAGATCCGGCTAAAGTTCACTCTCCAAACTCATCATCTATTCTACAGCTACCCAGAACAAAGCAACTGAATTGTGAGCTCTCATGACTACGGCAAGATCTGAGACCCGAAGCCTTCTGCGGCCGGTTGGCCCGTGAAACATTGCCTGACACCAAAATTGCTGCCTTCAAATGGCAACCCCAGTAGTAACGCTACCAATCTGAGTAATAGATATGATATAGCCTAAGAGATCATGAACTATAACAAGGGTTGGAAAAAATCGAAAGGTAGCTATTGAGGTCAGATCAAGGAAAGCGTCAAAAAGTGCGCTCAAGAGGCTTCGAAAGTACTAGCGGTCGTAAGGATTCTCTGTACAAGTGTATATATATATATATACACACACACACAGAAGTGTCGTTAAGCCATCACATACGACAGCAGTTTACATGTAGATATAGAAAATTATGTATAAATATGCCCAATAGTATCATTTATGTAAATGTAATATTTATCTACATGAAGAGTACTCGTGGTACATGTTATTCATATACACTAAACGTAATCGTATTTATATGCGACTAATCACTTCATTTGGACGAGTCAGCTAAAAAACGAAATTCAAATCAATGATCTCATCTGTACATATGGCGGAGCGATGCACAGTGAACGAACTGGACGAAGGCCGGATCATCGGCGGGACCACCTCGGCAATAAGGGCTAGTGAGCGTTGCCTACGCCGGACGCCAAGAATGCCCTTTTAGTTTCCTACTATCACTATTAATTGGCTAGTATAAAGCAAACACACACTCACACAGATGGTTATTTAGAACGTGTACTAGCTAAAGGCACTGATATACTGGGGGAGGCAGAAATGCTTTGTAGTAGCGGTGCCGATAGTGGCGGCGTTATGCGAGTACGATTTGTTGTCATCTCCAGCAGACTACACGCATCATCTTTGCGCTGCATCAGGCTTCTAAGGCCCATGCAGAATTAGCTGACTACTATAAGTATGTACGAAATATGCGAAACTGCTAATGGTTGGTAATAGCAATTAGTCTCGAATTCACGTAGCACTAAGTTCGTCAAACGACTCGGGTTCGAGTCGTGGACGGCGTCCTAGAGTTGCTTGAGTCTGCCTGAGCTCGGCTTGTCTCTCTTGAGCAAGTGGGCGCCGTAAAGATGCTAGAGTACTCACTTAGAAGTGGGTCCATGGTTCAGCGCGAAAAAGAAAGTTCAGAGACTCGAACAAACCGAAACTGATCAAACACGGTAGAAATGCAATAGTGCAGTGTTACAACGATTTGCTAAAAGTATGCGCTTGCAAATTCTGACTGTACGTCAGTCATATCATCTAAAAGCGTCCGGGGCTGACCCGTACCCGTGAGTCGGTTCATGCTGGCCGAGAGGCTCCGAGATCAACAGACACATTAGGTTAAGGGGCACCGGGATGCTGAGATTAGGTACCAGTACAAATGTTGCTCAAATGTGCTTACGTCCACACCATTTACATAGATGTGGATATTATAATAAATTAAAAAGAACATTTCTCTTATAACATAATACTTTGACGAAATAATGTCTATGTAGTACATTTCAATCTACCTACCACAGAAGTTCAGTCGTATAATATTGCACGTTTATAAGATTCAGAAAAAAAAAGTGATATATTATAATAATGTGCCAAAATGTTTCGAGTCGTTGAAGTCTCTTGAATGGAGCTCGGCAAGTTATCGAGTTTGCCTAATATAGGAACTGCAAAATGATATATATGCATTTTCCTGTTGCGGACAGTGGTATCTCACCTGAGGCATGAGTTGATCCGTGCTGCCCACACGCGTTACTTTGTTTCGGTTCGTGAACTTCTTGACAAACTTCTCGACGTTGGCATTGTACTTCATGAAGGTCACGTAGGCGGCATAACATGATAGCAGTATGAGCGCTTCCCACCAATGAATGACGTTGTCCCGGAAGAACACGATAAGTATGATGAGTATGATGGAATAGAAGGACACGTCACGGAAGAGTGGCCACCACGTCAGTTGGAGGACGCTCTTTGAGAAGATGGCGCACATCGAGATCACAAACAGGATATTGAAGACGGCAGATCCTACGATCGTACCAATTCCTGCAATAAGGCCAATTTAATTATGCAAAATCCCCATTCAAAAACATATCGCGATTGTTCTACATTTTACACATTCTCTATATACATGCGTAGTCGTTTTGACTTCCTACCGTAATCCTCTGTTAAATAAGGAAATAGTATGCCGTAAAGTCGTCGTTAGAATCAAAAGTGCTAAAGGATAACCTTTTTCTGAATATATCATCCAGTGTTGATTTCCTAACGACGTGCGTAGCCAACTTAATAAACTGAACTTTTCCTCTCACTACCCTCTAATCGTATTTTGTCCTACAAATTCTATGATTCTCATCGAAATGTAGATTACGTAGCCAGGATATTATTAAGCCAAATTAATGCAAATGCCGACAAAGGTATCGTTGAATACTGATATTCGAGTAAGGAACAACGACTACGTACTTAGCCTCTTTTTTTGCCCTGTGCCTTCCACGTGACATTATTACCGCTAGTATGCATTATAGTGCTCACTTGCTCTTTGTGCTTGGCCTAGTGAGGCGTGTCGGGTATTACCCGCTCGCTTAGTTGTTACTTACCTACGTCATCGAAGGAGATGAATACGCCGATGACGCTAGTGAAGAGCTCGGGCGCTGACCCGCCCGCTGCCATAAATGTTGCTCCCGCCACGTCTTCCGAGATGGCAAGCTTCTCGGTTATAACGTCGAGTGCGGGAATAAAGAATTCATCACAGACAATCGCTAGCGCTACGAACATATAAACAAGACCCGTGATGTGTAATATCACAGCTCCTTGACGCCGCTCTGTAACCGAAAACAAATCTGCAGGAAATTGTGCTGAACCGCTCGGATGTTCTGCTGCTGTTGTTGATATTAGTCCCATTGTTACGCGATCATTGACGATTGATGCCGTAGTGAAAACGAATGCAGTACGGCCAAGTGTTTATGGGTTCGTATGTTGATACGTTCGGCGGCGTCATGTCACAGCGCGGATACAATATGACGCATGTTGATGGATACGTAATTTCATATCGGGGCGGCGATGCAGTGCGAAACCAGGACCATGATTTCCCAGGCGAAAAAGACCGCATGATCCCACCCAACGCGAAGGCCACGATTGTATCCCAGGCATAGGCAGCAGTAACGACAGTGACGCCGCCGGTAACGAGACGAAAAAGACCATACGAACAAGAAACCAAAGCAGCAGCAGCAGCAGGGGAAAAGCATAGAACGGGTAAAATTATAAGGGGAGGAAACGAACGACAACAACAATAAGAACAGCCCGTTAGTTAATGTCTACAACTATCTTTATAGCTTTTCTTGCTTGAACCCCTCCTCCTACTGCCAGTGTCCCTGATGCTTGCGTTACGTCGCTTATCGCAATAGCGCAAGCTGACTTTTCCTTGTCACGAAGCGGTTCGCCAACGGTACTTGGCATGAACAGGGGCCAGTGACTACTCTAATTGGTTAGTTGGACCTGCTATGTCGCCCGACAGACGCGCTGCTGGCTAGCAGCGTTTTCCTACCTACGAAAGAAAATAGAACTGCTATCGGCATCGCCGCCGATCTGCAATAACACGCAAACGCAGCGATGGTGGCCAACGACGCACTTTTTCAACTGTTTTCTACAGAAACGAACATACTAAGGCTAGCTGTGGCAAATGGTCGTGAGGTAGTTTGTACCGGAAATATCGATCAGAAGCATTTATTTGAAACGAAAGAGAAAAATATGCTAAATTGGAAATAGGTAGCGCAGGCAAATAGGGACGCACTTTAATTCGCAGTAGCTATTGTACCCAACGAGACCTGTACATTGAAGCTTTGTGCCTGTGACCACAGCGCCAGGGCCATAGATATGGTTATAGCGCCACTGATGGTCATCACTATGGTTATCTCTGTCGTCGTCGTCATCATAGTGACAGTTGCGGTAAGGCGAATGACGTAGGACCAGACGATCTCTGCGTATCAAATGCTAAAGAACAGGTAGAGATAGCTGCTACTTTTGTACCATGTACATTAACATGCGAGAACGGGACGAGAATAGCCTTGAAACGTTGTAATAAACTGTTGGCCATAGAGCCTGTGGCACTGGAATGCCGGCGATAAATCGTCGAGGGCCTACGTCCGCGTTGACTGCTGTTGTTAAATGACACTAGATGAGAATAGAAAAAGATGAGCGAGCGACGTTACTGAAAGGTAATAGTGTGTCGCGGAAACACGCAGAAGCCGGGGGCATGAAGTAGGGACTTGGTACTGGTGATAGTTCAATCGGACAGAAGGACATCAATAGAAACAAGTTAGGCGGTAGCTCCAGCACCGGTGCAGTATGCCAGTCAATCTAGTCGGCTGACTACCATAGGAAGGTACGAACCAAGGCGTAGGCACATTTCGTTTCGTGCTGGGAACCAGTCAGCCCTCTTTTTGATGGAATTACGCCTAACGGCGATACCGGACGTAGCACTCGAAACATAGAGGGTCCTAGAGAAAAGCGAATGCTTGCTGACCACCCGCCAACTAGTCAAGCTGTCCACTCGCCCCGATATGGGGTCGAAGCTTAATGATGGTAGAATTACCAGGATCGGCCTTGGCTCTTAGTGTCACTTAACTGTTTCAAGTGAAGCAATTTGTAGTTTCACGTAGTGGTTTCAGTCCTTGCCATTACTATACATGAGGGATCGACGAGAGCCAGTCCTTTTTAAAATAAGGACTCCGGTTTCCTTTTTTCTCTATCTTTATCTGCTGCCCATTGACCGCGGAACACGCTCTAGCTAGCTACCATAACCAACATATAATAGTAGAGAAATCCAATCGGATACTAAGTAACCAGCGGAGGACCGGTGAATGAGGCGGACGCGAATCGATATGCGCATAAACAACATCAATGACAAATAAGTCCCCCGTTCCGAAAGCGGGACCCCAGGGTCTCTTTGTTATTCAAACCTCAATGCATTTCACTACCGTCTAAAAAAGATCAGTGAGATAAACGAGAATTACATGGAACTGATTTGACTCATATTGCCCTCTCAGACCCGCTTGCGATATCCAGTCACTTGTTTTACCCAATTTCTCGTTTTCCGTGGTAAGCGCATCGCGTCATCTTATCTGAAGTTAGTTGCTGGCCCATCTTGGTTACTATAATCCATAAATATGACTTTTTTAGAGTTAGTCAATACTTAAATTGACAACGAAAAGACATATACTTTTGAAATCTCGTTTACGTTCGTAACATAGATAAACAAACTGGTCCTACAGACAACTCCTAAACCGAATCAACCAATGTAAACCAACGATGTCTTGCTTGCACGATACATTTATCAAGATATTATTGTCTAGCACCTTGAGTTTAGCCGGTAGCGTCAGTGGTATGGCGCACCGCTGCTGATTCTCTGATCAATATCGAAGTTACTGGCGAAAACGACGATTTTAACTTCGCTGGACTGCTCCGGGTTCACAACCTTATCCAACCAGGTGGGCCTAGCAAATAAAGATATTGACGACAGATTTTACCACGCACCGCGGTCGTAAGCAGTCCTCCAATCTGCCAAGTTTTCTACCCAGCCAATAAATGGACCTGTTCAATACAACCATCGCGCCTTATGACAGCTGCATTTGCTGCTAGCGGCCGGCTGGCATCATTAATGAGGCAAAAGTTCTTATTAGAACATCTATAGTAGGGTACTGTGTACGTGAACAAAGACCAACGTCAATGACGCACGTAGTGATAAGCATAGATTGCTGCTGCTGCCATTGCCACCGCTATCGGACAGAAAACGATTATGAAATCGTGAGAGGCCATTGCGTCCACCATACAGGTCTCCTAACGATTCGTTCGCGGGCGTTAGGAATACAGGGAGGGGACCGTGGTGGACAGCGATCCACGGATAACTGTGGCTAATTGAAAATACACTGATGGAACTAGATTTCGCTGGGTTAAGTGGAGCAAAGCAGGACAACTAAAGTACTGCGGAGTAATCAGTCTTCGAACCAATCATTGCCAGTAAGCAAGTATCAGCAAACGTATGATGCACATGTAGTAATAGTACCCGAGTACCAGTCGAGTTTGCAGCTGATGTTTTAGCTATGCAGAGCTAAGAGTTATGTCTCACCCGTAGATAGACAAGCATGAAGATGAAGACAACTTAACACGATACCGCCAACTTTTAAGCGACTAGTCAAGGCACCGTAGGAGCGACTTCAGCAACAAAAAAGTTTTGGGCAAAATTACCTCGCAGACCAGTAAGTCAAACTTAGATGCATGGCTGAAAGTTTCCCAATCAAGGGCTACAGATGGCCCATATGCTGGCTAGTTAGACCCACATTGCCGACGGCAGCATTGCACCTCTTGCCTCCAGATAGGCAAACTGAAAAACACCGGCCCGGATCGAAGCCCTCAGCGGGTGGCTTTCGAGCCGTATGCCAAAGGTCCTGTTTGCTGGCACAGCGCACGCAGGGATTTATATATAAATATATACAGAAGCAAACTACACAGACAGGGAGTTCTTTCCGCAACGTCGTTCGTACAGGACGAGCCGATAGCACAACGATCCCTAAATATCTCATGTACCGGACTGCTGTGTAGGCGGGCATAATGAATGCTCACGAAAGGAAAGGATAAGTATTCTTAAAAATATGTGAAGAAATTGCTACAATTTTATATGAAATATGTAGTTGACTAAATCTATACGGACACAATATAGGTACCTTCGAACGCTATGTTGTGATTAAAAAAGAAGTTCTGTACAACCAGAAATCCGCCGCGGAAAGGACGATGCGGCTAAATGGTCGTAGAGTCAGTTGTACGCGTACTGCTTCTTCTTCGCGGTACGGCGCCCGTGTGAACACCGCACTGGTGCCTTTGAACTTTCGAACATGTTGAAAGCCGGCCGTGGCTGAAGCTGAAACCCAGCTTTGTTGTCAGGCCTGATTTGGTGGCCTCAACGTGCCGTCTGTCCTGCGCCGAAGCAGTGCATGACGACGACGCTAGTAGTTTCCATAGCAACAATAGGATCACAAAAGTTTGCCGCCGTTTGACGCGGAAAGTTGACTAAAAACGTTCTCAGCAGCTCCAGAGTTAAAGCTCGAATAGAAAGAGACGGTCGTGTAACGGTCGATCCCTTAAAGATTGACCATCGAGAAAGCTGGATTCACACGGCAACGGAACCCTTTCTCTGTTCTCTTGACAACCAAACGAAGATGGACTAGATATATGGCTTTTTCTAGCATTAGCTTCAACATAGGCGTCACTGCCCAGCTGGCCGGCATAGAAGGCGAGCTATATCTTACGGAGGGCCTTTCCTTGGCAAGGGACGATCCACCCGCAAAACGCACTCGAACGCTGCGGTACCAATGATTATATGTCACTCTACAACAGCAGTTAGGAAGCTACCCCATGCCATTTGCACAACTTAGCAATTTTCGTCGTATGTCTGTTCATCTCTACGCTATGGCTGTCAGCTTGCAAGCCCAGTCCGCCCTCGAAGCTCAGACACGTCATATACGAGTAGCCAATTATAAAGCTGGACATTTACGGTGATTCTCATATGACCAAAGGGATGACGGTATCAAATTTGACAATTAGTTTTTTGAGTAAGCAGAACTGTGACAAGTTCAGGGGAATTGGAAATCTGGGGCCTATCAAAAACGAAGTATATAGGTGGCGAGCGATTTAGGAGCGTTTCAACACGACGTAGCATTTCTGAACTTCGTAAGACGGATGCGTGCGAGGCGAAGTGTTTTATATGTCATCACCATTACTACCGCGGCAATACTATATACCAGTAATACAAATTAGCCGCACATACTGGAAAAATCTAGATATGGTGGGGTACACATTTCTGTGTAGGTACAAAAAAATATATATTGTGCTCCGTACGTGGCAAAATGAGGTCAATTTTACTTAATAATTAATAGTATTACTTTAACAGAACGTAACACAGTTCAATTGTATAATGCGTAATAACTCTAAGCACAAGATGACTAACTGAATACATAGTGGAGGTTGCTGGCTTAGTTTAATTGTAACACTAATAAATGCTACGTAATGTTTGCGTGGACGTAAGATGTTTGCGTGAAGTGCTGACCAATAACAGGCCATCAACATCGACATCACCCCGCTGGATTGACCCAAAAATCAAGCCTGTTTATTGACGCTTCGTTCAATAAAGCCGCCTCTGTGCTGAAAATGTTTGTTTTAGCATTTTCCTAGAACGGCTGTCATTTTTCGCGTACATAGTTGAGGATCGAGGTAGCATGCAATAAGGAAAAAGGGGTTCCTTGTATTTCGTACAGTCAGCGTGGTCCTTTCCGGTATGAGGTCAGACGTAAAGTAATCATAATGAATTGAATGTTATTACACTTATAACCTTACATTATATCGTACCAACTTATAGGATCCTGTATAATTTCATTGTTTACTTTATAGTACCATCACACTCGATGTATTGCGTACACGAACACATTTTGATACCTTTTTTTAGAGTAAATTATGCGATTTTTGGTAGAAAGAAAATTTTCCCAGATACATATAATAATTCGTTTTGTGTTTCGAAAGAGCAGACAGCTGTGGACAAAACAAATTAATAATAATAGTACTATGATTTAGCGACCCATAGCAACATTTGTTAAAAAAAGAAAAAAAAAACCTTATCTTCCTGGTGCTGCGGTCGTTTAGCAATAGACGTTTTTAACTTGCACCTGTTATCTTTGAAGCAATCATTCATCGTTCGAGCAATTTGCGGCTACAAACGGGTAATTTTGTTCCTAGCATTTAAACAAATTCGCTAAATTTACCTACTATGAGCATAGTGTATCGTCTTGCTGATAAAAGCCATATGAATGGCTCTGAATGAGGCATAACATATACTCGAGTACGGCTAGTGTCAAAATTAAATCCCGTATGCGTTTAGCTGTCACTTCCGAAAAAAATGCATGAGAAAAAAATGAAAAAAAAAATTAATCAAGAAAGCGAATAGAAACAGTTTAACGAGTGACCAGACGGCTAAGCAGCAGCGGTAATAACTCATTACAGAAAACTTCTCTACATTGTCGGTAATATACATATTGGCATTTATATAATGGTTCGCAGCCTCATCACTTGCATTTGTTCAAGTTGTTTTCAGTATTGCCGCTTCTGCCGTCACAAGTATCATGGTTATTGATGTTTTTCCTGCACCTGCTTGCGCTGCCCCCACTCCCCAGTGGATAAACCCACTGGAGGCTTTATTTGCAGGCGTGATTTTTGTGTGTTATGCGTTCTCTCACGTTGTCTTCCCAGCTATATATAAGAACTGCTGTTTTGTAATCATTATACCTGTATACATTTGTTATGCGTCGCTTCTCTATGAAAGCTAGAAAGCTGCGGAGGGGCTCGGATGCGTACGCATATAAGCATGCATTTATACTAAATACGAACAGTTTGCCCTTCTTCTTCCCGAACGATGAGCGAACTGCCTTATCGGGGTTTCATTACTCAAAGCATCTGAGCAAATCGGTAGGTGGTAGACCGTACGTTGCGCGCTAAGGCCCACATCGGTAAAAGGACACGTGCTTATCGTGCCCTATATTATATATATCCGTATCCATATATGACTGGCAAAGTGCTGCATATACTATCGAAGTTTCTAGAATAAGGGTAAATGTGCTTGGGTATCATTGTGAGCCAAATTAGATTGGGCTATTTTAGAAGCGGACGAAGACGGCGCGAGCAGCCGCTCGTTCAGACCATGCTATACTGAACGGTTGGTCATCTACGCACCTCCCGAGGCCCTCATTTATGGAAGCAGACAGCGGCCAGTAGTGGTAGCAGGCTGCTCGAACGACAGGCACCTATTTGGGGGCGACCCTTTTCTCATCGTTTTACCCCGTTCTCAAACGAGCTATAGCTACCCAATGTGAGGCGAGACGGCGTTCCCGGGAGGGAAGGCAAGTTTGGCTTGAAGCCCGTAATGGCAGATGGCAGCGTGCCGTGGGTTAGACCTACTGTAATTCTTTGCTGAACTGCCAGGGCTGCCCGCTGCTTCTAAACGGCCTGGTCCATAAAGCCCTTAGCCTTGTTGTCTGACGCACGCACGCGCGTGGGCCCGACGGCGGGAGTAGGTCCTAGATTGAGCAAAAACGACAACGGCTGCCAGGTGCTAAGAGCGAATCATAAAATTGAGCGACACTCAACAGTCATTCCAGGACAGCTTTTCGTGGTGCTGCCAATGTGTGCACTCACATCCAAAAACAAGTGAGTCGCTCAGTGTCAGCTGATAAGTAGGCTTCTAGCGGACAACTAGCTAACAGCCAGGCTGTGGTGGCAGAGATCATCTTTTTTTGCGGAAAATACTGTCCGGCCGCTGTTCAGGTTTAGTGGACAGCAAATCATCTACTCAGGGTGGACAAAATCTGGCTGCGAACGCGGCAGCGTATACGTGGCCTTCCGTCGCCCAGGTCTTTGTTATAGCCTGTAGGCGTTCGCGGGACGCATGGGCAAGCCAACATCACTTCGTTTTAAATGTCTGTCAGAATGGGGGACACGAAAAGTAAAGACCAACAGCCTTGTCTGCAGCAGTAGCTGTTTCACGAAATGAATATCAAGGTGATCCTAAAGTCCCGCCTAAACGCCTGCGGCGGTAACGATATTCATTCATTGAAAAGGGGTTGTTGCTGTCGTCTATTCGATATTCTACCTCTGCTGGTCTTGTATTTGAACAGATATTTGGCTTCTTTTTTCTAGCCGTCTCGGAAATCAGCCTCGGCCATCGAGACCCCCGCTCCCGCCATCTGTGTGTTACTGCGTCATGAAACTACAAGTGGATAGATGATAAAGTTCTGAAAATAGTACGAGATGGCGTCACTTTTGATTATATCATTGCAGCGTGGTTGCTCCGAAAACCTAGAAAATGTATTTTTGAGACCTACCAACACCACACAAATAGGCCAGAGCTGTTCTATTTCCTTGAATTTTACATGCAAGAGTAATATTACCCTACGTAATAGTCACAGTAGCAGCAATGACCATTCCATAACGTTGCATACAAAATTTATGACACATTAAGCTCTAGTAAAATTCGTCACTTTAGTTAGTGTCGCTTCATTTTGTGTGCGAGTTTTATCAAAAATAAAAATAATTAAGTAATGATAGCGCACGAGTCTGACAAACGACATATCAACATTGCATATTTGTAACGCGTAATGCTACACGAGGCATTTTGCCCTTTATATGTATCTATAAACGATTAGGATACGAGTTATATAATATAAAATAATGAAAATAGTAAAAATCGTTACCATTTGTCTTGTTCGGCGCCGGGGTCGTAGCAGCGGTCGCGGCGTGTTGTAGTAAATTGCGCGAGTGGAAGCCCCCGTCGTGGAGGGCGCAGTCATGGCTAGTAAATCGAAATATCATCGAGGCGGCATTATTGCTACCATCCGTGCCACCGGTTATACTACCATGGAACAGCGAATAGAGTGAGCCGACGAGGAAGGTGCTCAACAAATAGATCACAGGACTGCGAAGTCGTTTACGGGGCCGGCATCGGATGCCGCCCCGCGCCGTCGCCTCCAGCGTCACCAGGCCCATGCCGGTAGTTCCACTGTGCTGCTGGTGGAGATTCAGTGGCGTACGCCAGCGGCGACACTGATGGTCAATCCGTTTGGCGGGCTCGAGGTAGCAACGGCCGCTGTCGGTAAGCCGCTGGCCGAATCGATAGTTGCTAAGGACACCGACTAGCTGATGGCGATAGGCTGGCAGACAACAACAACGACAACAACAACAATGTCGGCAGGACGGTGCGCTGATGAACCTGCTTCTGCTGCCGCTAACGGACAATTCTCGTTGCCGTTGCTTTTGCTGCTGCTGCTGCTGCTGCTCTTGTTGTCAAAATCGTCACTGTAGAAGTATCGGTGGCACTGGTAATCGCCGCGCATGCTGGCTTTCCTTGTGCTACGTGCGCTTTTTTTTCTGCTCGTTGTCGTTTTTCGTTGGATTGAACTGGATGGTGAACGGCGCCTCAAAGGCCGCGATGGTCACTGCTGCTGCTCGATTGTTATGGTAACGATGACGCTGATAGATGGGTTGCCCTGTGTCTGTGTCGTACGGGGGCTAAAACGACAGGCTGGTACGGTTTCGCAGCAACAACGGCCAACGATATTGAGTGTAACCACACACAGCCTGGTCGCTGCTTGCACTTTTTCGTGAGCACGTATGCCACTGGGGCAACGAAAAAGAAGATAATGAAGTTTTACTGAAACTTGAAGGCATAGAAGAAGAAGAACAATCGTTGTTGTCGTGACGGTTACAATGTGCCGGCGATTGTAATAGGTCGTGTGCGCCTACCGGTAGCAGGTTATTTCTTGGGTGGTAATTTTATGTGTCGTATTATGGTTGTTATACAATGCTTGCTCGGTATATCGTTAGCATTGATATTGTTATTGTTGTTGATGTGGTGGATATTAGATAGTCGAGCAAAATAAGAACGAAGGACGATGGCTGAAATAACGAACGAACAAAAAACATCAAATGGTTAGAGCTTATGAAAAGCTGATTCAAAAACATCAACCGCCCAAGACTGCTAGTGATGTTAATCTGTTTGAAATAAACCTCAATAAATATCAAACAATTTCAAAAAGATTCAAGTCGCTTAGTAAATAATAGTACATACTAACTTTATATATACAACAATTACTCAAGTTGTTGTTTTACGGTCAGAGTCTTAAATTTGATAAATGCGAGACAACAATATACTGGCTAGATTTGAAATTTGCTTGTAGTCTCATCTTTATGAAATGTAGAACTTCGATAGAAACTATAGTTTGTTTTTGCTCAGTTTGTTGTGTTTTTTTCTATTTATTCTTATTAGCGCATGCATAACTGCAGGCGATAGCTTGTTCCCTGACGTTCCGGACGCTTCGTAGCTGGTGCTAGCAGTTGTGGGCGTTGCTAAGCGAGCGCTGTGGGGCTCGGGACAGAAGAGGAGCGTCAAAGCGTTTACGACGACAGTGATCTCGCAAAATCGGCCAGTTTGCCCCAGCAGTGACACAAAGGGGGCTATGCAAAGCAGGGCCATTCATTGTGTTCGGCGGGGCGTGGATAGCGGGCTTGTTCGCTGGCTGGCGAAACTGGAGGCCCTTATGTGGGTCAACATTTGCTGCTGCTGCTGCTGCTGCGAGCATGAACCTAACATGCATCTAAATTCTGCTCAGTAACGTGTAGGCCTGTGATGATTGTATTGCGCACCTCCATTTCTATTTTGTAGAACTGATGTCCTTTCTATAGGCCGGCCTGTGTTTATTACCTATTCGTATATAGCCCTGGATGCTGACTTTGCTGACGCGGCTGCGTCTGTTCCTTTCTCTTAATGTGGTATATGGTATA